ATAAACTATCCATTGTCAGGCACTCTTTTACAGCAGCATAGAGCAGACAAAGGCAAATACTAACCTTACATTCTGCAATTTTGTTGAACACTATTCAATCAGGCATTTGTAAATGATATGGAAAAGTAAGAACATGTCTGCGATAAGGAAAGAATGAATTAAGCAAATCCAGATCACAGTAGTAACCATGTAGAGTATGTCTATAACAACACAGCACTTGTTAAACCTAACATGCATACAAATCTCCTGGAAATCTAGCTAAAATTCAGACTATTGTCATGAGGTTTGGGGAAGGGCATGGGATTCTGCCTTTCTATCTATTGCCCCATAGGTAGATAGTAGTTTTTAATTACCATTATTAAGTTACAATAATCTTATAAGTATTAATGTTCCTATTTTACAGATAAAATGACATCAGAAGTTCAGCAAGCCCAAGTTCATAGAATAAGTGGTAGGATCGGGATTTGAACAAAGTTCATTTTAATGCCACATGGGCTCTCTGGAGTAGGAAGAAGATAGCTGGAACATGAACAGAGTATGAATCAGGAAAGCAGGCAGGTTTCACAGCGCCGGAGTTCTTGCCTAGAATGCATTGTGTTCCAAATCGCAAGGCTGTCTTGGTTGTCAAGGTTTTTCAGAGAGCTGAGAGTAAATATCTGACACTGGACTATCAGCTAGAAATGATACACCAGAAACGACTCAAGACTGAAGAAAGTCCTGATGAGATTAGACTCCAGGACTGGATTCTGCATACTGTTGAGGTCTATACCTGACACTATACCTATTGTTGAATCATCCTTTATTAGAGATGTTGGGTTAGATTAGCTGTAAAGCTGTTGCCTTTGACTAATCATAGAGAAATACACCAGTGAATTAAAGGGCATGGCTACAATTGTCTGAGGTCTTTCTAAGGAGAACATGTTTCAAACCAATGTTAACAACCGAAACAACCCATTGCATGCACTCTGTGACTCCTATTTATAGTAATCCTGGACAAGATCCTAAAATGGTTATAGTAGACGCCACTATTTTATTGGGGATAACAAATGGCAGAGTATCAGCACCATCAACACCATCAGCCAGGATAAGGGTGTCAGGATAGGGTCAGGCTCTGGCCATACAGTTATCTATGTAGGACTACAGCTAGATACTAAATTCTAATACTTAAAAAAAAAAACAGACTTGAGAAATTCCTACCATGGGAATAAAAACACATGAGAAAATGTTTTTTGTCCTTAGCACCTTTTATTGAAGTATTATCCTTGATGACAATCTGGCAGGCATATTTATGTTAGCTGAGAAGGTGGAGGACACAAATGCAGAAACAATAAGATTCAGAAAAATAACAGCTTTACATGGGATAGACGACCCCCCAACAGTTGTACAACAAACACTGGTTCTTTATCTACAGAAACCACACCCTACCCCACCCTCCCTCCCCAAAGATCTACTAATCTTCAAATAGTACAATACACTGTTACAGAAATATTATCAGCATAGGGAACTCCTTTGGCAAGGACAGCAGGAGTTTCCAAGCTCAGAGGGGTGGGGAATGGCAAGAAATGTGCCCAGCTTTCTCCATCTGTGGCCTGCTCCTCACAGCACAGCACCTTCAGGGAGGCTGGGGTTCAGGATATAGACCCTGGTCAACTTTGGCACACAAAATCAAATGGAGAACAGCTTGAACCTGGCCTTGCAAGAGGGGCTTTGTCTCCTTTCCTCTGCTTCTAACCTCTCCCTTTCTAGGGCTTCATTTCAGTGTCTTTGTCTCATCATCTTCAATTCTACTTAGGCAAGCACTGCTATATCCTGGCTGAGGTTCTAGCTGTGGGAATTGAGCAGAATCAATTATCCAAGGCCTGGGGAGTAGGGAAGGATATGTGATATCTCTTCACTGATCTTTCTGTATCTATGAACCACCATTCTCACCTAAAATCCACTCAGTCCTCTAAGTATCTGAAGGAGGCGAGCAGAAGCCAAGATCTGTAACTGTCTGGGGAAATCATTTGGCAGGCCCTGGAGTAGGGATGAACCCAGGGACTGAGATGGGTTAAGGACATCTCAAGGAATACTGGGTATGGTATGGGAATACTACTGCTCACAACAGCAAACCAGGGCCTGTTTAGTAGTTTAGTAGTTCACCCTTGTCTACTGACTATCTTTCAGTGCTTCAGAAATTGTCATTCCACAGGAAAATGAGAATCTTTGTGTTTTAGTCCAACTCCAGAAAGTAAATTGAAGTGGTGTGAGAGATAAAAATAACAGATATCAAAAATAATAGTATTTGGGGTGTCATAAACTTAAGGCACAGCTGATCTAAAACCTACTTAAAAAATCCAGACTATGGCCATGGTGTGCTGGTAAGTGAGCACTTTTCCCCTCTGGGTAGACAGTTCCAAAAAGTCATGCCAGCCCCCAAATCTTAGAGTGATGGAACGCATCAGCCTCATCCCCCAACCACAGACATTACAGCTTGCTTATTGCTTATCCTAGAGCCTCATCATTGAAAAAAAAAAGATGGTAACCATAGCCTCTACTCAAAGCATTTTCCCACCTTCTTCAACTTTGGCTTGCATGGGCATAGTCCTTTATAAACAAAGTTAGTTCTTCCATTGGAGGGGAGAATCACGGAGGAGGTGAATTTCTAACAGTGGCTCTGGCAGCAGCAATGAGAAGAGCATACCCAGAAAAGATTCCTACCCACTCCCAAGACATCCTTCGGCCAAGATTCTTCCATTGTTTTCCAACACAATGAAGAGGAAAAGGAAGTTAGCAGTATTTGTAGCAACAGCAAAGTCCCTTGGCAAATTCTTTGGCTGAATGAGGTACTCACGCTGCTACAGTGAATCTCAAAGGATTCTGAGGAATTTGCCTGGCTGAAAGGGGGGGGGGGGCGGCTTTGAGGAGAGGGTTGGGCTAGATTATATACCAAGCAGGGGATTGAGTTGGGTGAGGGTCAGAGTTTTGTCACAACTTTCCTTCTGTCATTTCCCTCTAGTGTTTTTCCAGGACAAAAGCTGGTTACCAGTGCCAGGGCCTGGACAAGAGCAGCAGTTTTAGTAGTTCATGCAGCAGCAACCCCCACGCCACCATCCCTTATCCATTCTTTTACTTTCTCAGGTTTCAGTGAGCAGTGGTCAACTATTTCAGACATACTGAATGGGAAGTCTTGGAAATAATTCATAAGTTTTAACAGGCATGCCATTCTGAGGAGCATGCTGACATCTCACAGCATCCTGCTTCCCTTCACTCAGAACATGAGTCATCCCTTTGACCAGCAAATGGACACCTATTAGCCCCCTCGGGGGCCTTCTTGATGATCAGATTGACTGTAATGGTATCACAGCACTTGTGTTTAAGGAAGCCTTGTTTTACTTAATAATGACCCCAAAGTGCAACTGTTGCAATGGGAAGGAGGCACCAGGACATGTAACATGAAAGGGTAACTCTGTCCAATGCTACAGTACATATAGGAGAAAAACACAATATGCATCAGGTTAAAAACACAATATAGATCAGGTTTAGTACTATTTGCTGTTTCAAGCATCCATGGGCGGGAGGGGCTCTAGTCCCTGTGGATAAGAGGAACTACAGCATCATAATTTGCTGGATCATAACTTGTTCTGGGGGACTAGCTCTAAATACAGTTCCCAGCTCCTGCAAATTTTGGTTCCCTGTGTCAGGCCACAGGCTAAGACAGTAATTGTTAGAGGAACTCCTTAATATACTTCCACACATTCCATAGCTTGGAGATGAGTAGAGAAATGGATGAGTCTTTGTCAGTTTTAGGAGATTCTTTGGTTTCAAAAAAAAAAAAAGATGAAGAAGAAGAGAATGAATTTTGCTGGGGAATGCTAAGCTCATGATCACGCAAACATCAGGGTAGACACAGGGCCAGGCTGTGGTTCAGCAGCTCTGAGTTCAAGGACAGAACTTCTTCTTACACACTTTTAGCTAAGTGGGAAGAATTCAAAGCCTTGGCACTCGCTTACCTAGCCATGATGGAATCAGGCTGATGCAGAAAAGCTTTTCCTTCTGGGCTAACTTTCCCCTCTCCAACTTTCCTCTTCTTGCCTTATTAGTTAAAACAAAACAAAACAAAACAAAAAAAGAATGAAAAAAATCAAAACATAAAAAATAAATAAGATTAAAAGGCCACTTAAAATATAACAATAAGAATATCCACCCACCCCAGCAATAATGAGACCTATATCCAGAAGTCAACTTTAGTACAGCAATTCATGGGCCATTAATGTGTGAGGCCCTGGGGTAGGCACCTGCTAAGCCCAGCAAAGAAAGATGGGACCAGAGTCTCAGAACAGGGTGAAGACTGAGAGTAGTTGTCTACCCTCTTTTCGGGCTGCTGGACAAGGTGGGGGTAGAGCCAATTTGTTTATGTCCGGCTCCTTCCTGAGGGCCACCTGGGGCCGCCCTATCTTTGCTTGCATTCTGCTAATTAAGTGAAGTGTCATTTCTCCTTCAATGCTTCCTACTGCGAAGCTAGGGTGAGGCCCTCAAACTGGTGCTGAGTGAATGTACTCTCAAAGCAGCCAGATGTCTGGCCCAAGAAATGGCTGGGCAGGGAGCCCTGGAGTTGAGTGGAGCTGCATGCACCCAGCACCCAGCAGCTTCTCTCAGAGCCTTAGGAGGCTAATTCCAGGAAGTGGGGAGGTGGTGAGTTTGTGATATCTTTGGTGTCTTAGCATTAAGAAGCGTGCAGGCACTTTGCTAGTTCCGTGTGCAGTAAGTGCTTGCCTGTGCACACCCACGCCGTGGGAAGGACAGTGCAGTTGGATGAGCACACCTTGTTGCAGCTTCCTAGGGTAGACGACGCTTAGAGTCTCCCCAGGATCTCCTCACTGGCTGGGATCACTGCTAGGAAAGGGACAGCATGAGACACCCAGGGCAAAGGGCTGGAACAAACTGTTAACTAACTGCTATTTACTCCCAACCAACTGCATGCACTTCCCACTGTGGCAGGGAAGGTGTGCAGTGGCCAACCGCTGGTAGCATTAGAAATTGCTGGGCCCCAGGAGTAGGCTCTCCCTGAGACATTTGAGCTGTTCTTCCCCAAGCTTGATCTTCTCCTCCAACTCTCGCTGTTCAATGATGAGAGCAGATTTCATCTTGACAAAGTGCTGGTAATCTTGGAGCTGCTCCTGAGGCAGGTAGCGAGAAACCATGCCGAACACCAGCTGCTCCCGGCGGTCCACATGCTCCTTCAGCTCCTTAGCATCTGCCAACTGCCCTGTCAGCTGCTGCTTCTTTTCTAACAGCACCAACTGGGGAAGCAGAGAAGCAATTAATGGCTAGTTCAATTCCAGACATGGGTCTAAAAATGCTGCTTTCTGGACTCCACCCCGCAATCTGCCACAAAGCTGCTCTCCATCCTGCTAATGAATCAGTACCCTAAAGTCAGCCCCCATGAAAACACCTTTATTTCTTGTAGCAGAAGGAGGATGTACATGGGGCTGGCATAGTAGCTCAACAGGCAAACCTTAGACCTGTTAGTGCCAGCATCCCATATGCCAGTTCATATTTCAGCTGCTCCACTTCCCATCCAATTCCCTACTTAGGAACTGGGAGAACAGTAGAGGATGACCCAAAGCCTTGTGATTCTTCACCCACATGGGAGACCCAGAAGAAGCTCCTGGCTACTGGTTTATGGTTAGCTTAGCTCTGGCTGTTGTGGCCGACTGAGGACGAACCAGCAGACTGAAGATCTTTCTATCTCTCCTTCTCTCTGTAAGCCTGCCTTTAAAAAAATCAACTTTTTTTTTTTAAAGGGAAGATGTATAACTATCTCTAAGGGTGTTTCTATCACTAAGAGTGTCTCTAATTCATAGAATATCATTAGATTTGGGGGTAGTGGGAAGAAGGCTCTAACAAAGATGGTTTGTGTCCACTCCCATCCAGTGAGCTCCCATTACCGTGGGATGCTTTCTATAACGGTGTGTGTCTCAGCATGAGTGCATGTGTTCACATACATATGCACATACATAAGTGCCTTTTACTGTGCACTGAAGGTTGTATCCAAGCCACATAGGTAGGAAAACATAACGCTATTTTCATTCAGGAATGTATATGAATAAGCTGACCCAAAAAACTGACAGCTTCCGTATCCCAACAACTTGATGAGACCACATGAAGCAAATGTGCTGCTACTGTTGTTTCTACTACAACCGTTACTACAACTGAAAGTCAGCCCTGACCCAGGGTTTATGCTTAGGGTCCTGTCTTAAGACATTAGCTAGGATTAATCTAACCTCATTCTCAGCAACAACTCCATGAGACAGGCAGTGTACAGATCCCAGTTTATTCATTAAGAGAGCGACATGGAATGAAGCTAAGTAAGTTGTAGAGACAGAATTTCAGGAAATGGAAAACTAGTGCTTACACTCTAAAAAAAAGTTATTTATTCATTTGAATGGGAGTATGAGAGAAAGAGAAATCTCCTATCTGCTGATTCACTCTCCAATTGGCTCCAATAGCTTGGGTTGGGCCAGGCTGAAGCAAGGAGCCTGGAACTCCATCTAGACTTCCCTTGTGACTGGCAATGAAACAAGCACTTGGGCCATCACCTGGTAGCTTCCCGGGCACACTAATAAGCTCAGATATGGCATACCAACATGGTAAAGAAGTGACTTAACTGAATACACCACAATGTGGGCCCCTTCTCAAACTTTTAAAACTATGCTACACTACCTCTCATAATATTCAAAAGCTGAAAGAGGGAACCCAGAGAAGAACCAACATTTCCCTCCAGCCACATGCCAGAGACCCCCAACTCTACCTTCTCCTGGTCAGCCTCCGAATCAATACTGTTGAGAGCATTCTCCACCCGAGCCAGACGTCCAGAGAGTGACAGCAACAAGTTGACCACTTTGTCCAGGTCTCCGATAAATAAGCGGTACTTTTCAAATTCATTGGATTTGCAAACAGCTTTTAAGTTGGCCTCCACCTCCTCTCCAAGGACAGAATTGGCATTGATGTCCTCCAGCAGCCCGCGCTGGGCTTCTCGCAGAACAGAGAGCTTTCTGCCAATGCTTTCAATAAGTTGTATCTAGACAGGGGGTGGGGAAGGGGAGATTAACAGGAGACAACATATAATAATGAGGACCAACAGAAACCGATCTGGGCCTAGAACCTCTAGTTACAAGGATTCAGATAGCACAGAATGGGCAAGTTGTCTGTGGGCAGGCACTGTTTCTCCCTGTCTGTGTTACCAATAGACTTTCTGGCATTAATACCCAAAAGCTAAGCCTCATTTGCCAAATGCAGCTTGATAAATACTTGCTGGGATTATTTAGCAAATGAGAACTAGAATGTGGGAGAGCTTAAGTTGGAAACATGTCTGTTATCAAGTATTTGCCTATCCCTCCATTCATTCTCCTTTATCTATCCAAGTGTATTGCACATTGACGGCACTCTGATAGACTCTTGTCCCCTCCACTTGAATTCTGAGACCTTTTCAGTAGGAGTGTGAGTTCTGGAGTCTAAATGATTGCTGGTTCACTTCCCAGTAGTGCAAACTTGGATGACTTGACTTTATTGCGCTTCACTTTCTCTCATGGAGAATGGCGGTAACCAAAGTTATCCACCTCACTTGGCTGGAATAAGGACTCAAGGAGATGGGACATGAAAGGGGCTTGGCCCTAAGTACATGCTCAATAAAAGCTAAGTTGCTGTCATTACAGTTCTTATTGCCATTTGGTCCTAAGACTCTTTCAGGATTAGTTTTTTACCCTCCTCTATTCACCACACTCATTCTTATGTCTCTGAGATTCTTCCTTTTAAAGATGTTTCGATTTGAAAGGCAGAGTGACAGAGAGATGCAGAGATGGAGATATGAAGAAACAGAGGCAGAGATCTCTGATCTACCGGGTCACCTCCCAACTCTCCACAACACCCATGGCAGGGCCAGACCACAGCCAGGAACCTGCAATTCCATCAAATCTCCCATGTGGGTGATGGGTTCAAGTGCCCGGGCCATCATCTGACTCTTTCCTTGAATGTGTATTAGCAGGAAGCTGAATCAGAAGCAGAGGAGTTGGGACTTGAACCAGACACTTCAATACTGAATGTGGGCTTCCCAAGCAGCAGCTTGACCTCCACGGCTGCAACACTTGCTCTTCTAAACTAGAGCCTCAGCCTCCACCTGTGTTCTATTATCTATTTTCTTATTCTGGCTACTTCTATTCTCCCAGGCCCACCTTTGTGCCCTCTATCTCCGCAGGAATCAGCAACTTGTCTGGCTACAAGTTCTGACAGCAATGGATCTATCCAAGGTTGTACAAAACCTCTGTAGTCACAAGGAGTGGCATTGCAGAGCCAGAGACAGATGGCTTCAAATTCCAATTCTTCCTATTGCCTTACCATGGTAAGGTACCTCATCCAACTTTTGTAAAGTGGAAAAGTTTCCCTACCTATTCCCTGGGTCATTTCAAAGGTTAAAGGAGATCCCAGAAGCAAAATACTTAATATTATTATGCCTGGCACATGAAGTGCTCAATGCACATTTACTCATGTTACTACTACTACTACTACTACTACTACTACTATTACTACTGGGAGCATTAAAACTCATGAATATGTAACCAACTGAAAGGTTCTGACAGGAACGGACCCATGTCATGTTGACCAGAGCCTCTGCAGTGACTACAACAATGAGTTGTAGCAAGATGTTATAACAAGATGTAATGCTAAGGCGCTTTGTATTTCCAATTTGTTACTTTCAAGAGTTTCAACAGAGGTGAGGCCTAGCAGTAATGGAATGTGGACAGAGAAGCCAGGGAAAGGTGAATGTTTGCGGCTATGTAAGTGTGTGCAGGTTGTTTGCTGCACGTCTCTTAGGATAACTTATATTGCTGGGGAAGCTGGAACATCGGCCTTCAGTTTAAGTGATGGACTTCAGGGTAATGACTGTTTGTTCCTCTCAGGGTTTTGATTCAGGCTGGATTGTCACATGGACTTGTTATTTGCTAATATCTAGTGGGCCCTGTTATCACCAAGCTTGGTTAGTAAATACACCATAATACACCTAGCCTTGTCTGCTGTCATCTCTCTCGCACCGTGCAACATCTTGATCTTAGTCTGAAGAGTAATAAGTAAGTTTTCACTTGAGAAAAATTCCAGAACCCACTGGGAATTGAGGATTAGCAATATTATGAAAGAGGCAACACATTTAGATGTCACCAGGCTCACAGTTATAATTCTATCCCCTGCTCTACCAAACAGTCAGCGTCCTGAACAAAGGATGACACACCTGAAAGATTGCCTACCCACTCTGATTCCCAGGCTCCGGGAGTGATGGAAGGACAAAAATGGAGAGAGCCCATTGTTCCCCAGAGCCTGTGTTCTGCCATCTGAACTTCAGTTGTGGAGAAAGTGCAGCAGCGACGTGGAATGTCACAGACTTAACCAGAGCTTAGTTGTTTTATTTTTGTTTTCTCAGATATTGCAAACAGGTGACCCTCCTCACCTCTCTTCCTCAGAGATAAATACTGTTCTGGCCCGTCCACAATCACTTCAAGTCACTCTTGATTCTGTGCTTTGTCATTGCTGATCGTCTGTCTCTTATCTTGGTCAGACATTTATTAGGTTTGTCCCTACAGAGGCCAGGGCATGAGTAAACTAGAAGCAGCCTTGCCATGGGCAGAAAGCGTGGCATCCAAGGAAGCAGGCATCTAAATCAATACGCCTTGGACACTACCGCGCTTCAGTTTCTGATATTTGTTTCAGATGAGAAACTGGAGGGAGAGTTCTCGTGAATGGCTCGTGCTTTCCTACGGTCTGATTCTGAAAGAGAATTACAGGCAGAAGAGCAATCTACACCGAGTTCAAATGTCCACAAAGTTGTAAATTGGGCCTTTGAGGTTGTCATGGAAACTCTATTTGCTTATGAAATAAAACGGGCAAGTGAGGGAGGGCAAAGCGATTCCAGGAATTTGATTAGAACACCAAGCTCCAGGTACTTACATGAAGAGAGACTTCTGAACAACAATGATTTCTCCATTTTTTTCTGTACTTCCAAGAGATAACTGACCATCTTGGCAAATACATACTAAAGTTTACCAGCCTATAATTTCTCCTTATTTTCTTTACTTATTCTGTTCTCTTTAATGGAAAATGACACAGAAAACAATGATCTGTGACAGTGCCACTGGCCAGGCTTCATGGGCAAAACTCTGGCACACAGCAGTCATTGAGATTCTGACAAAGTTGGTTTAACTCCAGGATAAAGCAGGAGCGCAAATTCAGGCAGTCTTAACTTCAAGTCTTGGATTCTGTTATCCCTGGGCAAATCAGTCCTCATCACTGATTTTTAAAAAGTATTAGGGCAGGGCGAATCGCTGAGCCTATGGAACTATATCACAAAAATATATTAGTAATAGCTAACTATAAGACTGTTCTAGCACAAGTAGAGAATGACTGGTCCATGGACTACCTTAAGGCCCACAAAAATCATTTGGTCTCGCCCTGCTAGGGCAACCACAGGTGGAACTTGAAATCAACAAATCTATAGTGATCTGATTTTTAAATTAATAGTTTTATATAGCTCATAAGTGATGTTAGAAATGTATAAATATATATATAAATTGCCCTCGGCACAAAAAGATTTCTCACACCTATGGGACTTTCCTCCTCCTCTTCCTTTTCCTCTTTCTATTATTGTTGTTATTGTTATTATTATTATTATTACTATTATTATTAGCTGGGTCAGAAAGAGACTGGAGTTGGATCTGTGAGAAACACAGAGGCTGACTTTTATCCTGAATATATGGAAATGCAAGATATTCTAGATTGTGTAGAGAGCTGGTCACCATCCAGACATACTCAAGGTAAATAATAAAAATCTCTAAAGCATATTTTAAAAACAAAACAAACAAATAACAACAACAAAAACATTTTACCTTTTTTTGAGCCAGTTCGTGATCCACCTCCTCCTCTCCAAAGCCAATCTCTGCCATCTCTGGTTGGTCTTTCAGCTTGTTTAGCAGTTCAGCTTTGGCCACAGAAATATTGTAATAAGCTGAATAAGAGGTAGGGGCTGCTGGAGCCCCCGGAGGAGGTGACAAGTGCTGAAACTCTTGTCTGTGGAAAAGAAAGAGGGACCATTGGAGCAGCTCTGTTGAGAAACTGCTAACATTTTTCTTCTTCAATTTAACCCTCTGTAAAATCAGACATTGCCTTATTTGAATAAGTCTAAACAAATGGACCAGGACATAATGTTTAAATGTAAACAGGTCACATGAAGGCCATAGAAGCCAACTAATGCCAATGTTTAAGAATCCAGAAGGGTACTTCCACGTCCCTGACTTCAACTGCTTGGAGGACTTCTTTTCAGATTGTGTTTGCTTGGTCATCAGCATCCACATTAAAATCTAGAAAAGCTGGCTGGCCACAAAAAGTTTTGGGTTTGGTTTATGGCTCCAATATATGGATTACAAAAAGTACTGGGTTTGAGGAACTATCTGAGACAGGGCCATCTAGTCTTCTGGCTTACAAAGGCACACTTATCTTTTTGTTGTTGTTGTTCCCCCGTGCCACTCTCATTTGTGATGTCCCTTCTTTGGCAGATGTCCTGCAGCAAAGAGGTCATGCATGATCTTAGCAGTGATCATCATATCTGGACTGGGGTTAGTGCCCTGGCCAGGGAGTTGTCATGGTCCACCACATCTTTCATGAGTTCTTCTGAGAGTGCCTACTGTAGGATAAGCCTTGGGCCTAAGCAAGCATAGCCATCTCTCTCTTTCCAGAATATCTCCAAGGACCTTAGGGTCCTCTGTGATTGTGCAGCAGGAAAATGAAACCAGTGGAACCCTTGGGGTTCAATGAGTAGAGCAGCAGACCTGTTGTCTTGGGTTTATCAGAGCCCTGCTCCGTGAAAGAGACTTTCCCCTCAGGAAAGTAGTAGCTCTGGCTCCATGCTGGCTTGGGTTTGGTCTCTCCTGTCATTACAGCTTCTTATCTGGAGTGTGGACATAAACATGTTCTCATATTAGGTTTTAGTGCCGGAGGGACAAATCGTTCTATCCATGGTTTCTCTAAGGGAAGGTACCCCCCAAAACTCCCCATTATGTTTTCTTTGCCTACCAGCCAGCCCCACCCTCCACCTGTCTGTGTCACTACCCCTTTGCTAACCTCTAGCTGTCTGCAAGGGAAAAATAGGAAAAACTCATTAGTCATTTTTGCAGCTATTTGCAGCTCTTAGCTAAAGGTCAAAAATAATGGTTAAAAGGCTCCACAGCTATTTACTGATTCATGCTATGCTGTCTCCTAATTCATCACACAAAAGAAACTTGGGCATGCCAATATTCCTCATCCTAGGTACATTTGTTTTACATTGTTCAAGCCTGTTACACTGATAGAGAAACAGTATTTGGACCAACTAGCATCCGCAAAGTGCTGACTGTGCCCTTAGAAACTGTCCCAAGATAGATCCACACAGGTACACGGAAATAACTGAATGCTCACAACAATCATTTTACGGAGAAAGAACAAGAGGCACGCAGAGATAGAGCAAAGCTATCAGCCCAAACCTGGGATTTGTACCAGGGAAACCTGACTCTAGAATCTGTGCTTTGAGCCACAATGCCACATTGCCAAGGGACAACCTGACATCATACGAAGGCCTACAGGTAAGGAACTTTCAGGCTGGAATATGTTTATGTTTGGGAAAAGGGAGAACATTTTAGAGGCAATATGAAGGCACCAACTTAGAAAATTCCTATCATATGGCAAATACTTGGGGCATACATTGAAGTTCTGACTCGAAATGTGTGTGCTTTATGGAGAATCAATCTTGTTTTGGTATTACAGGTTGAGTATCCCTTATCCAAAAATGATTGAGAGCAGAAGTGTTTTAGATTTGAGAAGCTTTTACATTTTGAAATGTTTGCATAGGCCTAATGATTTGACTACACTTGACCAAAAACCCAAGATTCTCATAAGTTTAAAAACATTTGAGGCTTGAAGCATTTGGGATTTTGAATTTTTCAATGAAAGATTCTGAGTGGTATACATATCATAGTCAGCACTGGGACTTCTTTTATCATCACCTTGTTAACAGAGATGAGGTTATAAAAGATCAGTGAGAACAGAATCTGAATTTGATAGTGAACATTGAAGCAAAAATCTGATTTTTCCCACAAAGCACAGAAAGGAAATGCATTGGGTCCATAATGGAAGCCACATGCCACTTGAATTAGAGTTAATAAATTTAATCAACCCTTGATGGGATCACAGATCTATTTCTATACCTATTCCCATACTGAATAACTGAATACTATGTAAGCTGTAAGATGTGGTTTAACATGGCTGACTTTAAGGCAGCCTTGTATGTCTTTTGATTTTCACATTACACATGTATATTTGCCCCTAACACTATCCTTTGTCTATTATCATCATTATTATTGTGAAAAAATAGATGTGTATATATAGTTTCAGTGTTCTAAAATCCTTCCACTTTGTTGAAAATAAGTAAAACTATCAAAAAGTATTTGACATTGATCATTATGTTATCTCTAGGGTAGCCATTAGATAATAGTATAGGAGCATGTGATATTAATGGTGGTGGGAGAGGTAAAAAACATTCAACAAATCTTTATATAACTAATTTGCTTATAAATAAATTTATAAGTAAGGGTCATTATCCTTAATATGTAAAGGTAAGAATGAAGAAAAAACACTCCACAGACATGGGTTAGGGAAGAAAGCATAAAGTAAGAAGGTAGATTTAAAACTGAATATAGGTATGATACTTAAGGCCCCTAACAATATTCTTGCTTACAAAATATTAAGGCTGCTTCCCTCTTCGAACATTATGTGTTCCTAAGGTCTAGAACAGAGTCTGGTCCCAGAACCCTGAGCTCCTGAGATGATGCGGTAGGCAGAGGGAGCCAGGGCTCTCTGGGTTCACACTGTGTGTGATTTTTTTTTCTCTTCTCAGGCCTTGCTTCTCTCATTTAGCAAGTGGAGTACACTAATCTTCACTGCTTCAGAAGTTTGTGGTAAAGATTAAATCAATCATTACAGAGGCACAGATGCTTTCTGACTTACACGGGGGCTTCTTTCTGATGGAACCATCATAAGTAGAATATACTATTAAGGTTGCAAGTCCGTTGAATTCCCCCCACCTACTTTACACCGCAGCTGAACAACACAGCCCAGCGCAGAGCACTGCCATTTTCCTCTGCTGGTGGCAGGGCTGCCAGGGAGCTGTGTTCTCTGCCACTGGCAAGCGTCATAAGAAAGGATTAAACTGCACAGGCTAGCCCCAGACATGATCCAAATTAATAATCTGAAGTCCAGTATCTACTGAGTGCCTATCACGCTTGTACCATCACAAAGCTGAAAAAAAAAGTATAAATCAAATCACTGGATGTCAGGGATCGTGTGGACACCACAGTGCTTAGAATGATGCTTGGCACGTAGTAAGCAAGTAAAAAATGTCAGCTTGCGTGGGAAGGATGTTGTCTCTGAAACCACCATCGCTCAAACAAGATTCGCTAATGGGTCTTTACAGCTACAGGCCCAGGCTGAGTATAAACACAGGGGGTACCCCCCCTAGTATCCTTAGTCAGTAAAAAAGCAAAACTCTGTGGTGCAAGTTATAAGATCTCTAGTAATATAATTTTCCTTCTCTCTGGTGAAAGGTGATCCGTAGAGGTGGTAGGGGAATGGTCTGGAACTGCTCCAATTGCTACATCTACCATAGCCTACAGGAGAGGAGAGGGTCCCCTAAAGGCAAAGCCTACTGGAAGAGCAAGTCCCCTCTGAGACAGGCTGCCCAGGAAGGGCAAACAGGTGCGGGTTTGGGACTCAGTGACGGCATTGAGTATTTGCAGTGTTGTAGCAAATGAGATCCTCTCTTACTTTGCTAAGCTTTAGTTTTCTCATCTGACAAGTAGGGATAGGAACAGCCAACAGGGCAGTTGGAAGAATTAGATGAAACTACAGCTAGAAAATGCTAGTACTGTGCAGTATTAGTAAATGCTTAGTACATATTCTTTCTTTCATTTATCCATTCTTTGCTCTGAAATACTGGTGAAGAGCCACTCTATATTAATGAGGCCACCTTCCCTTGTCCCTGCAGTGACAGGAAACAAGCACAGTGACTTTGCCCAAATGTTTTCTAATTACAGTCAGAATGCTCCCCAGCTGGCTGGACAGCTTGCAAAGGATCTGATAAGAGAATCAGGATGCCTGGGAGCCTGGCCCTGTAAATGCTGTGGTCGTGGCACCGCAGGCTGGAAAACTGCTCAACTGCTCCAGATGGTCACGTAATAGATGTGCCTGTCCATAAAAGCCACCAGAACAAGGTACAGCTAATAACAACAACCCTTGCTATGAAGGGATCTGAAGCACGCACTTCACAGACCCCAGTCTCCCTGGCCCCATCTCCAGCAGAGTGTGGGTTGCATGGCACACAGGAAGGCAATCAGCTCCGAAAAGCCCAAGCACCATGCACTGATGATCCTCGCGCTAGGGTCTTGAAATGAAAAAAGGGTAATCCATTATTGTGGGGTGCCCAGATGAGAATTAGCACAGTGGAGTGACCATAAAAACCACACTCCTGCCTTGCCCTCCCTGCCCTGGCAGCTGGCTCCATGAACTTCCACCTACTGCCTACTAAAACAAAGGCGGCCGGTGGGGCAGGGAAACAAGGAGAGGGAGAATAGTGCAAGAGAAAAAAAGAATGGCCTTATCTGTTGGGCAGAATTACCAGGGCATAAAGCAGCCAGCCCCAGGACTACAGTTAATAACAGGGTGGAGGGGAAAATGCAGAAGCCCAGCTTACTCAGCCAAGAGGAGAGGCGGGTCTGCTGGGGAGCAGGCCTCTTGTTCTGGAGGGAAAACAGAATAGAGGGTAGTACAGAGCATGAGCCTGGTTTCCAAGAAAGGCATAATACAACCCACGAGGGCTTAATGCCTTTGGAAGCAGGGGCCAGGCTCTGATGTAGGCCTTAAAGCCATACGGTATTGTAATAATGACGTTCAGGGATAAGGACATCAATAATGCCTGGGTATCTACTATGGGCTAAGTGTGAAGCTATATCCTTTATGTTGACTATGTTAATATTCATAACAACCCTATGGAACAATAAGTGTGGAGCTATGTCCCTTATGTAGACTATCTTCATAGTCTCATTGTGCCCATTTCCCATGTAAGACAACTGAGGCTGGGAGCAGATTAACGGGCCAAGCCTAGGTCCTGGCACTTACTTGGTGGGATCAGTGGCCTCCTGTTCTGACGTCCTCCAAAGCCCACCAGCGCCATAACAGCAAGGAGGCTGAGCCTGTTCAGGCTGAGATCCCAGGCGGCCCCTTCCTGGAGGCAAGAGGTTGCTGGAATGGAGCGGAAAGGGCTCCTGCTCTGCAGGAAGGCCTTGGGAACCCCGCCTCGGGGCCTGAGCGGGGCCGAGGCTCAGTGGCTGTGGCTGCTCGGGCACCTCCTGAGGATTGAGGGCACAGGAGCTAGTGGTTTCTGAACTGAAATACTGGGGTGGCAGTTCCTCTTCCTCCTCTCCCTCCTCCTCCTCCTCTTCCGCCTCTTCCTCTTCCTCCTTGCTCTCCTCTTCCTCATCCTTCTGCAGCAGCTTTTGCTGCAGGGGCGGTGGCGGTGGCAGTGGCTGCTGTTGCTGCTGCTGCTGTTGCTGCTGGGCTGCTCTGAAGAGCCTGTACTTCTCCCAGTTGGGAGGTGGAGGGCGAGGAGGAGGGAAGGCCTTTTTCCTGGCCCCCAGAGGATCTGCTTGGGTCTCGTCACTTTTGTTGAAGAGCTCTCTCCGATGATGGCCCCAGGCCCGGGTGCCTTGTGGCTCCATGCTGATGTGACTCTCAGAGAAGGCCCGGCTGCGCAGTGGGCGGGGCATGGAGGCCAGGGAGCTCTCCTCATAAACTGAAGGCTCCTCGGTTTGGTTCGAGGCGTGTTTGAAGTCTCCAAGGAGGTCAAGAGAAGAAACTGCTCGGTAGCTTGACAGGTCCAGCGCTGGGTTCTCAAGACACGGGTGGAAGGGGGCTGTCCATGAAAAGTTAGTCTTGGAATGAGCCATTTCCCTACAAAAGTGCACATGAATGTCAAGTCAAATAAGCTGCAGAAAAGCACATATTTCGGATGTCAACATTTATATACAATTTTAAGTGGCTGCCAAAGCAAGGTGATATATATAGAACTTATGATAATGACACAAAGATGAGAGCTAACACTTACTGTGCATATGCCAAACAGCAGGGATTGCTTTAAGTGATTTCCACGCGTTGACTTCTTTAATGTTCACAAGCACCCTAGGTAGCATTTGTTATTATTGTGTTGACTACAGAAGTGAGGAACTGAGGCAGAGACTGGTTAAGAAACTTGCCTAGAGTCATGACGTTAGGAAGTAGTAAAGTTAGTGTTTGACCTTGACCCTTTCATCCAGCTACAAACTCTGCACAAACATCTACCATTCCAGTCTTTTCATAGCCCTCGCAAGGGATATGCTGTGTGTTGAGATGTCTGTGCCTAGTTATATTCTTTCATTTCAAATAGAAATACTCACATTGCCATAATAAAAACTCAAGTTCCCCTACCACCCAGAATTAGCACATTTTAATAATTTGCTATCCATGCTTCATGAATTCTTTTTTAAGAAATAAGACATAACACCCTTTGCATCACTCCCTACTTCCAGTCCTGTAACATCTGTCTAGATGCAACCTGTCTCATGAATTGGCTGTGTGCAGTTTCTATGTACTCGTGTTTGTCACCAAAATCACCAATCAGGCCATTCACAAATAGCTATTTTTTTATTTTAAATATATATTTGTAATGCAATTCCAATCAGAATTCTCAACAGGGATCTTTTTTAAATGATATAACTCTGTGGAAATCAAATTACAAACAAAGCAGAACAGAATAGTGAAGACTACTCTGCTACCGAATCAACAAGGGGTAAATAAAGGATTAAGCATATTATAGAACAGTTTTAATTAAATCAACGTGCTACTGATTAACAGAACAGTCTGGAAAATCCAGAAACAATCAAGAACATCCATAAAACCAGGATATATACAAAATTTTCCACAACAAGAATATAAAGAAAGATTATTTAATAAAAGTTTCAAGATAACAGAGTAGTGCTAGCAGAACTACATCATGTATTATATAGCAAGGATATGTGTGAATTTGGTTGTACAGATGATATATGTGTAAAAAAAAGTATGTATATTATGTGCACATGTTCAATACACTTACAATTTTAAAATCAATCAGGAAACTTAAAAGACTACCGCTTGCAAGGTGAAACAAGATTGTCATTTTATAAGCTACAGAAGAGACTCTCCAAAGAAAGGAAGAAATTCCAGTATATTTGAAGATGTATACAAAGTCAAATTTCTGTATAATAAAGTCATCAAGGTTAGAGATGTTTCTTTGGGTTCAGAATATAAAGAGTTAAACCCTGCAAGCCACAAGCTCTGGTTTGCTGCTGTAGCCTTTGTGCAATCAGCATCATGCTAAATCCTGCCCAGTGACAGGAAGTTCCGAGGATTCAATCAAACCATCATTCAGACTACCCATTCAATAGTCATAATGAAGAAGCAGTATTTGTTGAAAAATAACAGTACACACAATAGCAGACAAGCTCAGATAGAGTGAAAGGCGAATTGTCCTTCATCACCCTCACCTCCAGCCCCAATGCTGGCAAGCTCATTGCTCCCATGGATAAGAAATTCGTATCCAAACAGCCCCACTCTCTTCTCATCTGGGCCTCAGCCCACACAGAGAACCTTGTGATGATAACGATCCCTTGTGTGCAAACTGTTCCACCTGACATACGCCCAGAGGAAAAACACAGGAAAAAAGCAGTAGTGCTGCAAAGTAAAAGGATGACAAAGGCATTCTAAGCTGAGAGATCTTTCTTGATCACCTTGTCTAAAATAAAGATGACACATGCTTCATTTTCCATATTCTATTTTGCTCTCTTTCACAATATTCATCTCATTGTGATATTATATCACATATCTAGTTTCATTTATATATTTTGGGCTCTATTCTCTAACATCTCAGCAAATACAGGGATCCTGTTTTTTTTTTTTTCAAAGACATTTTTTATTGGAAAAGCAGATTTATAGAGAGGAGGAGAGCCAGAGAGAAAGATCTTCTGTCCACTGGTTTACTCCCCAAGTGACAAAAACGGCCAGAGCTGAGCCTATCCAAAGCCAGAAGCCAGGAGCCTCTTCCAGATCTCCCACATGGATGCAGGGTCCCAAGGTTTTGGGCCGTCCTGGACTGCTTTCCCAGGCCAGAAGCAGGGAGCTGGATGGGAAGTGGAGCAGCCAGGATTAGAACCGGTGCCCATATGGGATGCTAGTGCTTGCAAGGCAAAGATTTAGCCAATGAGCCATTGCACGAAGTCCAAATACAGGGATCTTGTCTGTCTCATCCATCTGCTCTCCAGTACTTTAGCTCACAGTAGGTAATCAATTTAATAAATGAATTAATGTCAAAAATTACAAAAAAAAACCCTAGGTCATGATACTTTTCTAAAAATCTGAATTAAAGGCAAAATGAATCAACAAGACAAATAATGGCTTTACACTAATAATGAGAATGCATGATGAATATATAACCTCCCTGATTTTTTTTTAGATACCAAAAAAGCATCAAAATTCATAAAGCAAAATCTATAGAAAATGCAAACCTAAAAAAGAGAGACAGAATGAGAAACAGAGGCTGGTTCTGTAGCACAGTAGCTTAAGCCACAGCCTGTAGTGCCGGCATCCCACATGAACATCTTAGCGGCTCCACTTCTGACCCAGCTCCCTGCTAATGCTTAGGAAAACAGTTGGTGATGGCCAAGATGCGTGAACCCTTAGGTCCATGAGGGAAATCTGGATAATGCTTACAGCCACAGACCCAGGCCGCTGGGCCATCTGGGGAGTAAAACAGTAGATAGAAAAAACTCTCTCTCTCAAATAAATAAATACAAACTGAGAAACAAAATATGTGGCTTTCAGCTGATGACAGGTCATGACGGTCAAATTTTATGATGGGGTGAAAATTTATGATGGGGTTTATCCACTGAGTTAAGAAGTTGGTTAAGGGCTCGGCATGGTGGCCTAGTGGCCAAAGTCCTCGCTTTGCACTTGCCAGGATCCCATATGGGTACCGGTTCTAATCCCGGCAGCCCCACTTCCCATCCAGCTCCCTGCTTGTGGCCTGGGAAAGCAGTCGAGGATGGCCCAAAGCCTTGGGACCCTGCACCCGCGTGGGAGACCTGGAAGAGGTTCCTGGTTCCCGACTCCTGCCTTCGGATTGGTGCAGCACCGGCCATTGCGGTCACTTGGAGAGTGAATCATTGGATGGAAGATTTTCCTCTCTGTCTCTCCTTCTCTCTGTATATCTGACTTTGTAATAAAAATAAATAAATCTTAAAAAAACATTAATAATAAAGCAAGATATCTACTTTCCCCACTAACTTCTGCGATTTTTCTGAAAGTGCCAGGAACTACGATCTGATACAGTAAAGAAGCTCACATTGTCAAAGGGAGACATGTTCTGAGTATGAGTATAGGATATGATTATTCACCTGGAAAATTCAATAGATGCCATTTAAAAGCTAATATCAATAAGAAAATTCAGTAAGGTACCAGGATATAAAATGAATATGTATAACTCAACAACTTTCCTGTATGCAACAATCAGAAAAGGCTAATAGAGGGAAAGACCACATTTACAATAGCAATGAAAAAGATAAAGTACCTAGGAATAAATCTAGCAAGAAATACACAGGACCTATATGCACAGAACTTTAAAACTCTATTGAGGAACATGAAGCAAGATGTACATAAATGAAAAGATATACACTTTACTACCAGGAATGACTCTATATTATAAAGCTGTCAAGTTTACCTAAATTAATCTATAAACTTAGCGCAAAGCGCATAAAAAGTGTCAACAGACTATATTTTAGGACATTATTCTGAATTTCATGTGGGAAAAATAAAGTTCTGAGAATTGCCAGGAACAGTGGGGGGGGGGGGGAGGAAGGAGAGTGATGAGAGAAGAATAACCCTTAACAATGATTAAAATATGTTTTATGGTAAAAACATAAAGTTATGGTAAAAATGCAGCCTCATAAAGAGAAAGATAGATGTATGGAACAAAGCAGAGAACTCCAGAACACTGAAGTAAATCCAGATGCATAGGGCAGGTTCATGATAAAGGAAACATTTCAAATGGTGGAAAGATGGGCTGTTTAATAGACAGCCTTGAAACAACTGGATCACCATTGGAACAAAAAGAAGCTTGGATCCTCATATTAGTTTTACAATGGAATAAATGTCAAATATTATCAAGATTCAAAGTAAAAAGGACAATATAAAGGCATTAAAATATGAGAAAGCATTAATCTGGGCAAGGTAAGTTAGTCAATTCACAGCAAGATACCAAATACAGAAGCAGTAAGGAAAACTTGATGAACGTGAGTGCCTGAAAATGAACTGGCTTAAAAAAAAAACAACTGAATACAGGAGAAAAATACCAGAGCCAAAATCAAAAGCTAAAGATACACTGGAGAAAACACTAATAGCATATAACAATAGCCTGAATATGTGAAACACACCTGCCAATCCATAAGAGCATCCAACAACTCAATTAGAAAAACGGCTATAATTTCCACAAAAACAGATTATCAACATATCTACAGAAATTCCACCTCATTGAAAATTAAATAAATGCAGATACAAACAATATTAAAATTTTCTTTGAATTTAAAAAAGAATTGATGAGCTTATATTAAGCCGGTGATCACAGATGTCATTGATGGAAATGAAAACGGATGTGCTTTTGGAGACACTGGAAAGATCTAGCAATTCTACAGCTATTCCTTGATAGAAGTCCCTAAGAATGTTCGCTGTAGCTTGGTGTGTGATCACAAAAACCCATAAATAAGCTAAATGCCCTTCAGCAGGGATGATATCAAACAGGGAACATGCAAATACAGAATTCTACATAGTTATTTGAAGTAATGCAGAAAATCTATATGTATTATAGAATAATCATAATTTTTTAAATG